AAAGGAAACGTAGATGAAGAGGTAAGACTCATCTGAAGTGAACCTATATTGGTCTAAGTTAACTTCCTCTCAAAATTTTCAGGTTGAAATGCTACGAGCTGAACTTAAAAAGGCCGAAGAACGACATGACAATGTGCTTTCTCGTTTGCAGAAGGCCGAAGCTGCAGCATTAGTAAGTTGGACGAGTTTAGCATTAAACAAAATAACTCGTCCTGACATAGCACCTCATTTTAGGAAGCTAGCAAAAACCAGAAGAAAGTAGTTGAAGAGCTCAATAAGAAGTTAGAAGAAGCAAGCGAAAGTGAATCTGATGCTGAAGAGAAGATGTAAGTTTGTATCACTTTACTTTATACGGTGCATACAGTAATCATACAGTATTCTAGAATAAAACTACAGCAAGAACTACAAATGTCAAAGAATGAGCTTGTTCTGAACAAAGAGGCTGTTAAGAAGCTTGAAACGCAGTTGGTCGAACTGCAAGCTGAGAAGAAGAAGTTGGAGTCAAAAGCTTCAGTGGCTGATGAGATCACTACATTGATGAGTTCGTTATCAGCAGTGCGGTCGGAGAATGGGTACGGTACAATCCATTTTGTGCAACAGACGACGAACTGCATCAAGCGCTTTTTAGGCAATACCAAGAGGAGATTCGCTTACTTCACAGCCAGTTGGAAGAAGTAAGAGATGAGTTGGAAAGAGCTCTAGAAGAAAGTGATGAATGGAAGTCAAGAGCTGAAATGGCTGAGAAAGAGAAGAGCCTTATGGAGGCTGAGATGAATAAGGAGCATGAAAAGTAAGCTGTTTTTTGCTAAACAATTTTATGCCCAGTGATTCTTGTGTTTTCTAGAATTATTGCTCTAAAGAGCTCTGAAGCAAGTCGGGTAGCCCATGAAGCTGAACTCGCATCGAACACATCCCAGCTACAATCGGAAAATTCTAAGCTCCAAGAGGAAACTAAGGGTTTGCGTGCCGAGCTGGAAAGGGTGCAAACACAGCAGAAAGAAGCCGAGGAAGAGTCAATGAGAAAGTTAAGAGAGTTGACAGAGAAGTGTGAGGCAATTCAGAAGGAGGCAGATAC